CAAGTTTTAGGAAAGGTAGCTATATCATTTGTTGTCCAGTCTCTGCATAAGGCCAAAGTTCAGGGTTTACCTCAAGTCCTTGTTCAAGTAGTCTGAAACTGGATCATCTCTGCTAGCTATCTTGAAATTGTTCTGAGAAGTGTGTAGACCAAAGCTGATCTGTGGGTGATGTTTGTCAGCTTAGTGGTATTATTATTATCCACATGGAATGTTGTTATGGGGCCCCATCACCTTTCTGGATACTTCAAATTTCATGTTAGACCTGTTCATAATTTACTGCAGAAAACTGATAGAGACTCAAACACAAAAATATGTATAGGCAGCTAATTGAAGCCTTTTTTTGAATTAGTTAGTACTCTGTATGACCATTAATATTAAGTTTAAAATACATATATATTAATCTCTTTAGATTTTGATATAAAATTTACACCTTAGGGAAACTTTAAAGAATAAAAATAGAATCAAAGAATTGAGATTAGTAGCAATAGAATATTCCCATATTTTTTTGTTTTGTTTTCTTCTGTTCCATATCAGAAGATGGCTTTTTCTTCCAGCATGAAATAAGGATGTTGCTTTGTCCTTTTAACAACATGCTTAGATTTAAATAAGGAAAGAGCCATTTTCCAACTCCAAAGCCAGTTTTAATTTTTAATTGAACTGGAACTACAAGAAGACCCTTTGTGTTAAGTGTCTGTAGAGAAGAGCAGAAACAAACATTAATTAAGACTTATGAAATTTTATAAATGATACACCAAAAGGCCAATTTACTCCTTTTCTTAGGACATTTTTTCTAGAGGATTTGTCCTTTTTCTTCAGATGTCTCATTTGACCATTGTCCTTGAGATTCTTTAGCCTCCCTTCTCCTGAAAGATAAAAACAAAAACCTTCCCCAAGACTAAGTTTGAGGAGGTTCCCTTTTGGCAAGTTATATCTGATTAAATGAAAAACAATTGTTAGTGGTATAAGTTAGTTTAAACTTGTACTGGTCATGCTGGTTGATGAACTATCACCTCTTCTAATTAAGAGGCCTCTCTTGTTCAAATTGAACCTTTATCAGTTTTGATGGTACCCACACCTTGTCTTCTCCTGTAGAAACAAAAGCAAAATCTTGTCCCCAATGTAACACATATTCTAGTTTCCATTCTGAGGTCAGCACATCTTTAAAGTATATAGGCTGATTTAATTCTGTAGTTTTTTTTCTATTATCCAATGTCTCTCTGAAGCTGTTGTTCCTTTTCATTGGCATTCAGAAAATTCAAATAGAGAATTATGTAATCATTTCTGGGTGTTTGTTTCCCTTTTTGTTTACTTAGCATATTCTTTAGAGTTCAATTTGATCTTTCTATGA